GTGGAAGAGTTCAGCCTCTGGATAGTTGACTGCAAGGGGAATCACAACTCCGCCGCCAAACCAAGTTGCCAATACACCAGCAACAAATTCAGCAGATGGTTTCGCCAAGATTCCCACCCGAGCTCCACCAAGACTCCACTTTCCTCCAACAACTCCTTCAGATTGGAATGACTTGGTTGTTGCTGCCTCCAGTTCCTAAATGAATTCTCACAGTGATAATTAGATTCACTTCATGCATAACAAAAGACCATTTTTTTTTTTTTTTTTGTGAATGCTAACTGTTAGTTGTATGACTGTTACTCTGAAAGGGTATGTGAACCATAAGGCAAAGTGTATTATAATCTGATGGATTATAAAATAACAATAGTCTATTTGGTCTTCACCTTCCACTGAAATGGTGGACAATGATGAAGAGTGCAAAAAACCACCAGAAGGCGGTATGAGCCCAATGGTTGGTCCCACTCCTTCTAAATCCATTTTTCATGGACAGTGATGACCACATGGACTGTGTTACCTCCATAGTCCACTGGACTATACTAGTGTCCTCTCCTTACATTCATTCATAAAGAAAACAATTACAAGGGGTAGTTGTCAAAGCATAAGAATAAGTACATTTTTAAAGGAAATAACTATAGGGATTTGTCTCCAAAAAAACCATTTATCTTTTGTACACGGAGTTGTCAAATTGGATGGCTTGGGGGTGAGTCACGGAGTTCAAAAATTTTTTTTTTGAACTTTGTAAGTCTTGCGACCACCCATTTTAGAATTTAAGGAACAAGGATGATTGTGACATCCATGTACAAAACTCTGATGACTAATCAAAAGATAAGAAAACAAGAAACTTTGAGGGCAACACTTAGTAATATTCCAAAATCAGGATGAAAATTTAGCTGATATAGACAATAATCTTGAGCAATCTCTCTACAAAATCTGAGCATCCAAAGCCAGAATTGCTCACCTGTAACATCTGCCAAGTCGCTGAGATTAGTTGACCATAACTGTGAGTTTTCATATCAAATCTCAAAGCAGCCCTGTCATGTTCTGCAGTTGCCTGCTTGGCAATTGCTTTGACCACCTCCATGGAAGCAAGAGGGGATGGTGCTTACTTGTCTAAATTTAAACAAACAACGGCACGGATTTCTTATTTCAGTCTAATCAAATCACTTAAATATCAGCTATCAGATATCAGATTTACAACATTTCTTAACCCAGTACAAGAAATTACTGAATACTTTACGTTCAAGTTCATTTTTTGAGACGTGCATTGTATTTTAATTTTAATTTTTTTCTATATATTGTACTATACTCAAATTAAGCAACCATACTTCTCAGCATTGCATACCTCCAAAAATACAAAAAAATAATTAATAAATAAAATAACAAAAATTCCCTTACACCCCTGTAAGGTGGTATTTTTGTTATTTTGTTTCTTACCAATAACTTTTTGCATTTTTTCTATTCCAGGTGTGTGATGATGAAAAGTATGGATCCTCAAATTTGAACATAATCTGATATACATAATAAATCAAATTAAAATGTAATATGCGCTCTCAAAGTAAGATTTGATGGAAAAATATAAAATGTAAAATATAAAATACTATTTTACATTTCAATATTAAAAAAATAGGAATTTTTGCAAATTAGATTTGATGATTGTGATCCTCCACTAATAGTAACCAAAACGACTGGGCAACTAACCTATAAGTTAGTCGATTAGCTAATTCGGGATATCTCTACATACAAAGAGCACATGAATTTTTGTTTTTGGAGGAATGATTGCTAACTAAAGGGTGTGGTTTGTTTTAGATGTCAACTTTAAACAATCTAAAGCACCTCCAATTGATTTAAAATCTGAAATTGTTTCCATAAAATTTTTCAGATAGTTTATCTCTCAAAACTTTTCAGGTACTTTTTCTCTCAATAAAATTTAATTTAATTTCTCTTTCTAAAATTTTAAAATGCTCTCTCTAAAATTAAAATTTGAGATAGTTTCTCTCTAATAATTTTGAGATAGTTTCTCTCTCTAAAACTTTTGGGTAGTTTTTGTCTCTAAAAAAGTTTAGGTACTTTCTCTATCTAAAATTGATTATAGTTACTTTTTTTAAAATTTTAATATATTTTTTCTCTCTAAAATTTAAAATTTGAGATAATTTCTCTCTCTAAAATTTTGAAGTAGTTTCTATTTTAAAATTTTGATATAGTTTATCTCTCTAAAATTTTAATATACTTAGTTTATCTCTCTAAAATTTTAATATAATTTAGTTTATCTCCCTAAAATTTTAATATACTTTCTCTTTCTAGAATTTAAAATTTTGATATAGTTTATCTCTCTAAAAAGTTTGAGATGATTTCTCTCTAAAAATTTTAAGTACTTTATCTATCTAAAATTTGATATAGTTTCTCTCTCTAAAATTTTAAGATATTTCTCTCTTTAAAAATTTTCTGGATGTTTTTCTTTCTAAAATTTATTATAATTTAACTATCTCTTTCTAAAAGTTCTTTTATAATTTTTCTTTCTAAAATTTTAAGGATGCCTCTCTCTTTCTAAAAGTTAAAATTTCAGATAGTTTTTCCTTCTAAATTGTTTGAGATAGTTTATCCTTATAAAACATTTTAGAGATAGGAAGCAACAAAAAACTAAAGGCATCCTTTAATTGCAATCATAGGATCAATCAAAAGCAAACAAATACAGCCTGGTGCCTTGAACCAAAGTGGGTGCCCCCGAGCCCTAGCCCAAGGGCAGAATTCGCCAGTGCCTAGCACCTTGAGCCAAGGTGGTAGGACTTCAGCCTCCCACACACACATAACAAAGAACCCCTTAAAGAAGGGAAAACCTCTCTAAAAACAAATATTTGATATATATAAATATGTTTTTGAGTTCATTCATATTCTCACAAAATCAAAGGAAAGATTAATTGATTGTGAGATTTAAAGAGGTGTTAAAAGGAGGTGGTTTTGCAAGCAAAGCATGCCAATTCGAGCCAACTTTGATTAGGTTTTCAATTCGATTTTGGATTTGTCTTTGTTGATATTCTTCATGATTTTTTTTTTTCTTGTTCACGATTAGTTTTTTGTTTTGTGTGTGTGTATGTTTTTTTTTTTTTCAAGTTTGGATATGGGTTTATTGGCCTTTTTCAAGTTTGTGCAAGTTTCAAACTTCTAGATTTCTAGTAATTAAGCTTCAACTGCTATGTATAAAAAAACAAATGCAAACAAAACCATTGTTACATACTTACCCCAAAAAAAAAAACTAAAACCATGGTTACATAGACACAGATACAAATATCTGTGGCTATGAATATCGTCGGTGTCTACTACATCGGATTAAAAGCGGACACAGTTAGACACGTTTCATAAAATCATTTTTATCAACAAAATATTATATTACTATATAAATAAAATAATTCCTATGTTATTTTATATGGGATGTGGTTGAGAAAGGTTGTAGAACTCATGACATTTGTGTGTACCATCTGAAATAGAACATTGTCTTAGGACGGCTGACATTTTTTCAATAATTTTAACCAATCAAGTGTCGGTTGAAGTGTCTACACGTGACACCAGCTTTAGGCCGGAGTGTCAGATTTTTACTGACTTTTAGGATATAGACACATGTCAACGACACTACATATAACACAACATTTAAAAAACTAAAAAAAAGAAGATGTTCATAATTAGGGGGTTTGATATCAAACTCAGAGCCCTAGAGACTCCACAGCCCGAATGCACCCTGTTTGGAGTGCCTCATTCATGAGGTGCTGCCTAGACGGCCATGACCCCTAGCTAGGGGTGGCGACGGGTCGGGTCGGGCTGGACCCGGACTTGAAAAAACATGATAAGGAACTTGGATCCGATCGGACCCGACCCAAAATTTAAAATATTTATGTATTTAAATATATTTTATATATTGGGACCCGAAAAATATTGCTGGACCTGAACCTGGACCCAGACCCAGAACCCGAATAATGCTCGGGTCCAAGATTTGGACCTGGACCCGACCCTTTGGGTCTAATTTTTGGACCCGTGCCCGGACCCAGATCGGGTCTACCCCTGGGTCCCGGGTCCATTGCCACCCCTATCTCTGGCTGCACAAGCAGCGCTTTCCACTTTTTGAAGCATTAAACTACTTTTGTCCTTTGCTTTTTACATTGTGTTCATCAGTTCTTGGGTTGCCAATTAAGTTTTCTTAAAGCTACTGTAATCAATGGGCTATGGAAGCCATTGTCTATTGAGGTCATAATTCATTAGCTTAGACCTTCCATATAATCCTGTTAATTTCAGAGTTCATACATTTTGATTCAGAAGGCTGTACAATAACTACAATTTCATCCCAACATAATGAAATGATACACAATGAAAGGATATAAATGCGTTACAGCTATAATTTTAACATAAACTACTATGAAAATTTAATTTTTCAGACCTCTTGAACAAAGAATGGAGACACAGTTCATAAAATAAAATAAGTCTACAAGTTCTCAATTGAAACTCAAACCACAAAGTTCAATTTCTAATTAATTATTAACATTAAATAAAGTCCAACTTATTGATTCAGATTACCCAAAAAAAACACAAGGTCTTTAAATAGAATTTCTAAGGTCTTTAAATAGAATTTCTATTTAACTATTTCTACAGGAGAACAAAGACTCTCCAAATTGAAGACCAAAGTAAGCAGAGAATGAAATTCAGGGACAAATTCACAGCCGCCAGTGAATCCCTGAGGAATAGAAAATTGGGATAAAACCCTTCACCACACCCAAATCTAGGCGAATACACATTTTTATGACTACTTTTTGGGTAGTTTACATGAATGGTGAGAGAGATTTCTAAAATTACACTCACTTTTTACTAAGAACTTAAATCATGACAATCTTTTGTGGGGTCTAAGGAATAAAGTGAGTCAGAAACACTCAAATATGGTTCCTATAGAGAGATATTTTTAAAATTACAGTCACTTTTTATTGAGAGAATATTATAATGGTTCCACCCGGTAATAATTCGTGGGGCACATTTTTATGGAATAGAGTGAGAAACACTGATATTTGAGATGAAGTTTTGTGGGCCTAGAGTAACAAAAGCATGTGTACATACAAGCATGTCGGCCTGGATTTAGAAACATTTATGAAATATATGACAAGAAGTTGGTCTAGAGAGAGAGATTAAGGGAGAAACATAACTGTTTTTTCAGGATTTGCATAGCGAGAGAGAATTGCATGGGAGAGGTGGTGGGATCACAAAGAAAAGTTATCAATTAAAAAATATTAAAAATAAAATAGTATCGAGGGTGACATTGTGATTAGGGCCATCTAAACCGTCCATTCAGAATGAAAGGTTGGATAGAGGAAGTATAGAAGTTTTATGCTGCAAGGGAAGCGTAGAAAGCTTTCTCTAGGGAAAGATTTGTATGCTTCCCCCACCGCATAAAAGATATATACTCCCCCTTCCTCTAGCCGTTCAATGTAGATCTAGTGAGCCACTAACTACTTAATCTACATCTGACACTTCATAGTATTTTATTTTTAATTTTTTTCTACTAACTATATGAACATGAAGTTATGAAATTTGGTATATGGCATCACTTCAATGGGGCGCACCTAAATGAAATAGTTAAAAGCTTTTTTAATAAAATAAAATGACTAAAATACCTTTAAAACTTTTAGGGGTATTTTAATCATTTTATTTTATCAGGTATATTGCTTTTATATTTGGGAAAAGTTTATATAGAGCCGAGGCTCTAAACAATCAAATTCGAGCCTACCTCAAAAATTTCACTAGAACATATTGTTTTGATGCTCAAATTCATCATCTCGATATCAAGATGCATGGACATGATAAAAAAATGGATTTCAAGTTTTGGAAATAGTGTAATTTGTAACGCACTTTTGGACCGTCAAATTTCATGATTTTCAACTTTTCATAGATCTCTCGATCTATATTATTTTTGAAGCTTTAAACTCTATAAATAAAAATGAAAATATATTTTAAGGTTATCAAAAATATTTTTGGTATTGAAACAATATTTCTCGACACTATTTGAAGGTAGGCTCTATTTTGATTGTTTAGAGCCTAGGCTCTATACAAATCGCACCCTTTATATTTTTATATTTATAGGTGCCGGTTCAAGATATACGGGACACCCAAATTTTGGCGTCAATATTTTTTGGATAAAAAATATTAAAAATAAAATTGTATAGAGGGTGACATTGTGATTAAGGCATCTAAGACGCCTTTTCAGAATGAACTGGTTGGATAGGGGGGAGTATAGAAGTTTTGTGTGGTGGGGGAAGCTTAGAAAGCTCGCTCAAAACCATAAAGTATTGTGATTTGATTGAATTCATTATATGTGGGCCTATGTACCAAAATAATTCATATTTTTGAGAAGACCCAGCAAATCTCAAAGAAGGAATAAAACTCTTCTTGAATTCTATTAATTTCACTTAGAAATGAGTGTTTGCAAACTTGGCCGATCCAACTCGGAACCAGTGATTCAAACCGCAACCGGAAACTAGCCGATCCTATTTTGGTGGTTCGGCCAGATATTTTTAAAAAATTCAAAAGAATATATAAAATATCATAAATAAGGAATTTGATTGTAATGTATTTTTTATTATTTTTTTATCATTTTGGCAAAGATTAGAAAGTATTTTGGCATTGAATACTTATTTTTACATTTTTGCCATCTTTTCTAGAAAATTTAAAACATACTCTTAGGCACAAATCGATTTTTTTAAATTTATTTTTTTCACTATTTTTCAACTTCATTTACATGTGCTCAGTTTAATCATGCTTTAAATATAATTTTCATTTTCTAAAATCCTTTTGAAATTTTTAAAAAAATTTTGTAAACACTTTTTAGACCGGCCGAGACCTGCCCCGGTTAGGATAGTTGAACCGGTCCGTTTATCGGTTACTCGTACCTAGCCCTTGGCCTGTTTTTGAGGCCAGTTCAATTTCTTAAACATTGGTCATTTAATAATATTGTTTCATATAGTTGAAACATCAAACCAAAATAAATTTCTCAAATTGAATTTAAATATTACAAGTGCTCAAAAAATGTTACAGCCAAGATTTTGCAAATTTATTCCCAAGAATTACCCATATTCTATCTTCTATTTTTATGAAATTCCCATGAAATAAGCAAGAATCACATAGAAGCCAAAATTTGCAAACTTTCCAACCAATTCAGTAAAAATCCAAAGCAAAAATTCGGTTTAACGGAATATTTTTGAAACAAAATCAAAACATTTTTTTTGAATGGTAATGAATATTTCGCATTAATATGAGTTAGGAAAAGAAAAAATTAAATCTTTAGAGGATATAAACTTCTCAAAGCAAACTGAAGAAAAAATTTACAGGTCTGGATCACAAAGCAATCAAAATGAATGACCAAAAGTGATATGATAAAATCAAATTGTCGGGGGAAAAAACCGCCCAGCATGAATTTAAGCAAAAATATGGAGTCTCAGCTCCCAAAATTTTGCTGAAATGCTAAAATGCAGCCATAAGTCACTGCAAAATGAGGCAGCACAATCAAATTCTTACTGAAACAAAGAAATCAAATTCCTAAATGAAGAAATATCCTCAAAACATCAGCACAAAAGTTTAAGCTTTTCATCGGTGCGCCGGTAGCTGAGGCAAGTTACTTAGTGAATCCAGGATAGAGTATTTTTGTGTTAAAAATAAAAAAGAATAGAAAAAATTTCAAAGAACATAAAAAAGATGTAGTAAAAGTAAATTGAACCTAAAACAACTTTAAAAAGTAAGAAAAAATAAATTAAAAACAAAACTGGGAAAGTCCTATAGGATAATTTCTCTTTATCTTTAGGCAAAAATGGACGGTCGAGAAAATTTATTGTAATATACACTATTTTTTGAATTTAAAATCGTAAGTTCTTTCACGAACATAATGTTCAATACTTGAATCGCAATTTCCCCGGAGTTTTGACTTATTTTGATAATAGTGCAGTCCTATCAAACTTCCTTACAAAAAGTCCTTTCGATCCAGATTAAAACCCTAGTTTTTCTCCGCTTAATCGAGACAAAAACCATTTTCCTTACAAAAATCCTTTTGATCCAGATCAAAACCCTAGTTTTTCTCTGTTTGATCGAGACAAAAATAATAACCCTAACAATAAAAAGGAGAAAAAGAAAAGGAAGAAGAGCTTACAGTGGGAGAGGACGTGCTCTGTTGCAGAAAGACCCCGACAACCGCCTGCTCCACAAACGCTAACCTCTCACTACTTGTAATACTCGCCATGGCAATGGGCCCAAAGTGATTAATCATAGGTTGTCTCTTGATCAACATTTCTCTGGTCACAGGTAAAACTGTAGCCATGAAGTCAACACAATGTGGGATCAATGGTGGACCCTTTGCTATACGGTGCCAACACAGTAAGGTGAAGCCAGTAGCTTTTTCAACATTCGCAAATTTGAACGCAGAGAAACCGCCATTTTAGCACCCGTGCCACAGTGAAATTAGGCTCGGTAAAAGTTCAGAAACTTCACTCCATGAAAATAATTATGAAAAGGTAAGGTATTTAATGATACTATTTACCTTTTGAAACAAGGAGGTAACAATTAAAGGCACATTTAATTGTTGTGTAAATATTCCTTTTAGATGAAATATATACATATGTAAATACCTTGTTTGTGCAAACTTTCTTTTCTCCATGTTTGTTGAGACGATTGAAAAGCAATGTGGAATGAATTTCATATGTTTGTTAACTTGATTTAAATATGTTTTATAAATGCATATTTAAATAGTTATATATTTTTAAAAATATAAATATACTTTCATAAATATGTTTAAGAAAAAATATACAATGAAGCCATTTATCTTTGGTATAAAGTGGTCACAATTAATCTTGACAATTGGATGTGAAATTAGGTTGCCACATTTATTTCATTGACCAAACTCAAACTTCAAAAGAAATTTTTTCAAACTTTGTGACACACCTAAGCTTTCAGATTTCACATCAAGCGGTTATATATAATTGTGATCACCTTGTATAAAAGGTAATGATCTCATTGTATACATTCCCATATGCTAAATACATACATATGTTATTTAATATAACTAAAAAAATGTAGTAATATTTATTTAAGGGTGTGGCTGGTATAGAGGCAAGGCTCTAAACAATCAAATTAAAGCCCACCTTCCAATAGTGTCAAGAAATATGATTTCAAAACTAAAAATCTTTGTGAAAGCCTTAAAATATATTTTCATATTTAATTATAAAATTTAAAGCTTAAAAAATAGTGTAGATCGAGCATATTTATGAAAACTTGATTTCATTGTGAAAATCGATGGTCCAAAAATGCGTTACAAGATACACTATTTCCAAAACTTCAAATCCATTTTTTTTTCTCATGTCCATACATCTTTATGTTGAGATGATCAATTTGAGGATATTTGAGCATCAAAACAACCTCTTCCAGTGAATGTTTTGAAGTAGGCTCTAATTTGATTGTTTAGAGCCTTAGCTCTATATAAACTTTTTCCTTCATTTTAATATAAGGTTGTATACAATGAGACCATTTACCTTTGAAATAGGGAGGTCACAATTACTTACAACCATCCGATGTAAAATCTGATAATTTGGGTGTGTCACAAAGTTTGACAATTTTTTTTTTTTTACTTTGAATTTGGTCAATGAAATAAATGCAGCCACCCAATTTCACATCCAATGGTCAAGATTTATTGTGATCACCTTATACCAAAGGTAAATGGTCTCATTATATCCTTTCCCCTTGAATATTATTGAAATATTATATTTTAAATATTATTTATTTATTAAATATAAAATATTATGTAAATATATATACATGCATTACTTAATGGACCCGGTTTCTATGTAGTCAAGCCCGCTTATGTAGAAATGTGAGCCTATTTATAAATCTATTTTTGAGATGGATTTTTGGACTTAATCTTTTGGCAAGAAAGATCTTAAGTCCTAAAAATAGGACATCTTACCGTATATTATTTGGACGGTCCATTTTTAGGACAATGATGAAAACTCAAAGATGAAAAAACTCAAAGGACAAGTGCATCTCAAAAACTCAAAGGACAATGATGAAAACTCCTCTAGTTGATCGTACCAACCTATGACTATCAAAAGAAAAAAAAATTCAAGTTCTAAAATAATGTATCTTATAACATATTATTTGGACTCCCAATTTCTCACATTTTAAAATCTTCGGCTCAATCTTCACAATTTTTAGAGCTTTAAATTTCATTACTAGAAGCTAAAATAGATTGCCGCAGGCATTTCAAAACCGAAACTGCATCTTCAAGTAGGGTTGAAGCTGCATTTCACTTTTAATTTTGTTAGGACCTTATAAACTGAACCCTTTTTTAAAATTATTTTTGCAAGTTGAATCCCCTTCTTCATGATCTGTTTTCTTAAGGATGGACATTTAATGCTCATTGGATGCATTCTTTCTTGGCACATTAAATATTTTTCTTTCATAAAATGTTTATGGGAGTCTTATTTTTAGTATTAGTAGGTCACATTCAACCTTGTCAATTGGATGTGAAATTATTGGGTGACGATGTGCAATTTATGGGTTCAAAGTCATAATCATCGTCAAAGCATTTTCCCAACGAATTTATAGGCTAAAAGTTCTAACATAAAAAGTTTCAAATTTTGTGACACACTTCAATCTTTTAGATTTCACATTTGATAAATATAATTTTCTTGTACTAAAAATAAATAGTTTGATAGTGAGGAAATCAAGCAAGGCATCAAATAACTATTAATAGATCACAAGGATCAATCATGTGTGAAATCAGGCAGGTTTAATGTTATTTTTCCACATAGTCCTAGAATTTTCAAGTGTGCCCACTAGAGTTCAAATGACATTTTCTATGATAGCATATGATTTCTTTTCTTTTTTTTCTTTTTTTTTGTGTGTCTGGATGGTGACTAAGTCGAGGAGATTACATATCTAGAAATTTGGATTTCTAAGAATATTAGAGGGAGTAAGGATAAAATCTTATGTAAAAGTTAACAAAATATTTATACGAGCGGAAAGGCCTGGATCAAAAAGGCAAGAGGCAAATCACTTGGATTTTTTTCTTTAATAGATCTCTATTGTGAATGTAATGGATTTGGATACTTTTTGTGAATAAAAGAATAAGTTTCACGTGGAAAGAAATTCAGCATGGGAAGAGTTTGAGAACAACATAAAGCAGTGAAAGTGACCTGTTATTGTAATTTTCACGTGTTTTGAAAATATTTAAATGAGAAAAAATGGGAACACAAGTTCACCCTTTTTACTGTTCAGTCAAAACCTGCAGTGACAATTCTCAAAACCCCCTCCCCCTTCTCTTTCTCCCCCATGCTGAATTTCTTTCCGCTTCAAACTACACTTGCCTTTTAAAAAAAATAATAATAAAAAACAGTCTCTTTCTTTCCTCGTCAAACTTCATTTTTAATTCATTAAAAGAGTCTAAATCCATTACATTCTTCATCATAGTTTTTTTCTATTTAATTAGGATTAGCTACATGATCCTCATTTTGCTCCGATTTTTTTAACTCTTGAACCCTCATGCTTATCCCAATCCAAATAGGACACCCATTATGAACCCCACCTAGTCCAATACGTTCCCACAAAAATATAGAGAACTAACAAAATCTAAAAATTCATAAATAAATAAAATTAAACACCCTATTCATACAATAAATAAAATTTCATTGCAACCCCCATACAATTATTCCTAAAAATTAATCTTGACAAAAGATAAAAAGTCTACCTATATCTATAAAAATCAAAATAAAATATTTGAATTATCCATTTTTTGATGTGCATCATATCCACTCCATCTTTTCTCCTTCAACCTTGATTGTTTCACCGATTTTATGTTGTAAGTTGGTTGGCTTGTAGATGCATCAATAGGATATTGATATAAGATTGTATACTCAAACACCATTACATCGGTTATGAGGGATGATTTGGTTCTAAGTGGGAGGTTCTAAAAGGGTAAAAGAGAAGCCTCAAAAGAATATGGATAGAAGTAACGAGAATAGATATGGCAACTTATGGTCAACTGAGGGTATGGCTCTCGATCGAACATAACGACAAAACATGATTCATATAGTGGCCCCTAAATAGTAAGGATAAAACTTGGATAATGATAACGATTATGATAATACTATAACACCATCTTCCTATATGTTACACTAATGTCACAGTTAATCCTTGCCATCGAATGTAAAATTTGATAACTTGGAGTGTGTCATAAAGCTTTTTTTTTCAAAGTGACTTTATATAAGGATGAAAGAAAAACATTTTAATATTGAACATAGCCCTTCTAAATTTGGATGATCCAAAAAGGTCACAAAAAATAGGAAGATAGATATGCCTAAACTGTTTTTTTAAAGGATTGACCCTGATTATGAAATAGATTCTAAATCAAGTAAAACAATACGCAAAATAGCAATTATGCCTAAGGGATTAAGTGTACAGTTTGCACCAGCAAGAGCATACGTGCTATCTGATTGACAATATACGATTGTTTCTCTCGTAACGTTGCGCGTGCAAAATTGAATGAAATAGGTCCAAACTTGTGACGATCATATGAAACATGACCACGTGGACCAATAAAATGGACGGTGATGGAAGAAGGACGGTGGCGATATGTATAGTGGCCACTCCCTTCATCACCATTCAATCCATTGATTGAAACGACAAAAACTACGACATCAGTGATTGTGGTCCAGGTATGGGTCATTCTCCTCAGGCTCTCTTTTTATTTATTTATTATTATAATTATTATTATTGTTATTGAAAGTTAACTTTTTGAAAGACATTAGTGGGGTGGTATTAAATCACCCAATCTTATAAATCAAATAATGCACATGTACTGCTCTAATAAAACTGGTAAAGCTATCATAAAAATGGTCAAACCATCTAAAAAAATCACTGAATCAATTGAATTAGTTAGTTTAAGTACCTTGGAAAAATTATTTTACTCAAATTCCTCTTCAAAATTTCTTACAAATATTCAAAAAGCTCATTTTCAAGGTTAAGAGCCAGGGTATTTTGATAATTAGGGTATTTTGATAATTTAGGCCATCAACAAGTGGGTGAATATTCAAAATGGCCCCAATTATTACAAAAAAACAAAGCTGTTGCAATTCGGAATTTGGAACAACATGAAGTAATTTATTTACTTGGCTCGGTCCACTCAATTCGAGCCAAGTGTCACAGTTACCCATGCGTGTTCCTGGTTCTGAACCACGTATAATTGATATTAGAAAATGGGATTGTATGCTATGATACTATTTTCAATTATTACGATTAGGTCATAATGGCTCTCAACCACTAGGTGTCAAATTAGATGGCTTGGGGTGTGTCAAGAAGTTTTATAACTTTTTTTTTATTCTAATCAATGACCCACCTACACCCACGTAATTTAAAATATGACGGACAAGACATACTAAAAGTAGATAGTCTCTTTATATACCTTTCTTTGAAAAATA